CATTTGACTGGCTTACATGGTTTTGTAGCCAGAATAGAAGTAGAACAGTGATTCTGGTCATAAACCATGGTTGTGTGGCTGTTGCAGGATTGCTGTTTTAAATGTTCCTATTACAGGGCCTGTAGGAGCTCCTGGGAAATGATGGCTATGAATCAGAAATAAGTGTTTATCACATTCTACTACAAAGAGATGTCCCTCCAATCATTTCTGAAAAGAGTTTAATTGTTCATCCTTGGGCCTCTGGCTGGACCCTTTCCACATATACCTTGATCCTTGACATGGAAAAATTCTAGATAATAAAATCAGCAGGGATTAGGAGAAGCAGAAGTCCTTAGAATAGAGCAAGGTGTTAGAGGAAAACGCTAAGTGGATAGAGGGTTGTTTTTTTTGTTTGTTTGTTTTGTGTCTTTTCCTCCTTTGCCAGAATTGAATGTACTGAAGCATGCCAAAGGGGAGGGGGACACATGCGCCCCTAGACAGCTTCCACAGGCCACCTAATCACCACAGAGAGCCAGCCCCTGCCAGCCCTCCACATCTGACTTCCTGACGCTCAATTAGTTAGGCCTAGACAATACCACTACAGCTGCCACTACTACTCAGAAGCCATGCTTGCCAGATTGTCTTGATTTCCCCAAATATTTTGGGTCTTGGCCTAACTGCCACTCAACCACAGGCTTTAGAATTGAGCCTGGCATTTCATATCCTTTGCCAGCTCTTAAAATAAATCTTTCCTCTGGAGAAAATATTGGCCTCCTGCAGAAGCTTGAGCCTAAACTGGCTGCATTTCTTTCAATGTAGACAGGAATAGATCTACAGAGATGCCCCAGGCTCTGGTCACCAGGCTCTGGCCCAATCTTCCTTAGTTGGAATTCAGGGGCACAAGGTAGACACTATTCGAGAGACAGCACAGAATTTAGTCCTTGAAGCTGGGTGGGGACTGGAGAGATTTCACATGTCCTGTCCTGAGGGCCTCAGCTTTGGGCTAGTCGAAGCTAAGAGAACTATCACCTGTGGCTTAAACCCCTTAAACATCCAGGACTACTAATAATGAGCCAGAATTGAAGGCTTGACTTAACTTTCCTTACTTGGTAACTGATTTACAAACACTGAGTAAAACAATCCATCAGTAAGCAACCCCAAATCAATCATCTCTGCTTTCATTACTCCACTCAACCTGCTAACGAGTATGGAGACACTTCTAATAACATGCCAAGATTCGACAGTATATGAAGTTCTGTGAGAGAGTCAAAGCTCAAGATTCCAAAGATTTGCCTTCTAGAAATTTCCACCCCAGGAGTGGACAGTCCCAAAACAGACAAATAGACAAACAGCACTAGGTTGAATGATTTGGAGACTAATGAAAAGCCCAAGATGGAGGAAATTGGGAACTGGTTGGGTGTTTCAAGTAAGAAATGGTATTTGAATTGGTCTTCAAAGGAAAGGTCGGACTTGAAGGGTAGAAGGTATCTCAGGGATCCTTCTGTAAGTGGAACATTTGTGGGATGGTGGAAGGTGTACTGTCTTCCTTTATCTTTCTCAACACAAGTTTTGCACAGGAAAGAGTTTTACAAACATGAGCATTTTGGTTCAAGTATAGGCAAAACCACTCATGTTGATGCTTGGGAAAGAGCACCTTGAAGGGATGAAGAGAAAAAGAGAAGCCAAGGTTGCTACTGAGCAACTCTAGAGGTCTCTGCAATGTGACATGAGCACAAAAGAAAATAAAGGAAGATGCTGCTGGCCGGAAAGAGCTAAAACACCCTTCCATCCCATGAGGAGCCAGCAGGGGGCGCCTGCTGGGATATCACATGGAGCATTTTGATGAAGTGTTTGGAGTATCATGGTTACACTTGGATGCAGGTCCTGACTTTTGCTGCTCCTTGTAACCTCAAGCAGAACAGGGAACTCTGAGTCTCCATGAACTCAGGATCACTGGGAGAATAATATCCATGAAGGATGAATGCAGACTGGGGTGCTGACTTCAAGACCACCATCACTATGCTTGCTCTCTGAACTAAAATTTAAAAATATAATTTTACTGAAATACTATCTTAAAAATGTAAAATAACTTGCAAATGTCACTGCAACACTTTTGTGGGAAGCTCATTCAAGTTTTAGTGGTCCAAGCATGAGAAAAAAGAAATTACACTTGGACATGATAAGTTAAACAGGACTGTAAAATTTCACACAGTGAGACCAAAGGAGTATAGTCTTAGGAGATCACAAAGGCTCAATAGCTATGTGCATATGATCATATAAAATGATGCTTATGGAAATGACCTCCAAGAAATGAAAACAAGAGGTTTTTCAGTTTTACTTTTTGTGTTTATTTTTCTTTTTTCTGTGTTTGATTTCTGAATCTTTTGTCTTGTATGTAAGTTTATCTGATTTGGAGAGGGTTCGGGAAGCACCAAAAATGGTGGAACAAGGGGTGAACAGTAAGTATTATTGCCTACGCAAGGCTGTATACCTCAGGCAAGGAGCTGTCTCCCCTCTGTGCAGCTACAACCTCCCATAGCACAGTATATGTAGTAGGCTCTCAACAAATGCTTGCTGAGTTTGATAGGTGGATTATTGCTGGTCTTGGTGGATAAGGATGGAAGAGTATATTCCAATCTGGTGGAAACGAATCATAGTGTTTCCCTAATTTGCATGTTGTTGGGTTGTACCTGATGATAACATATGCAAATGATATTTAGCACCACCAGATTCATCTCTTTTTCTTTGCTAGTCCTGGGGCTTGAACTCAGGGCCTGGGCACCGTCTGAGCTTCTTTTGCTCAAGGCTAACACTCTACCACTTGAGCCACAGTGCCACTTCGAGCTTTTTCTGTGTATGTGGTACTGAGGAATCGAATCCAGGGCTTCATGCATGCTAGACAAGCTCTCTACCACTAAGCCGCCTTCCCAGCCCCAGATTTATCTCTTGAGAGTCTTTAGATCACCACAGTTCCAGCCCATTAACAAACACCTTCTGGAAGAGTGAGAGGCAATGTGGCAAACTGAGGACCAGGGAGCAAAAGTCACGTGTCAATGAGCCAACTTAAGCAGGCTCCACAGCCTCATGGAGACAGAAGAGGGTGGCCTTCATCCTCTTGCAGAAAGAAGCAATGGAAAGCCTTTCCAGAGGGTGTGGCCAGGTCTTAGGGAGGCAGGGGAGGTGGTGGGCATCAGCTAAACACCCCATTTCCAGTCTTAGAAGAATAATCACACTTGGCTGGTGGCACAGGCTTAAGCTTGACCTCTGTCAATGACATTTTGTTTTGTTTTGTTTTCCTATCCACTCCTGGGAGAACACAAATACCTTCAGATATCTGCCTGTCCTTAGAAAAGGAGGCCAGAGGAAGGACTAACAACAGTTGCTAAACCAGCCTGTATGTTAAACTACCAGAAGCGCTCTGGACACGGATGGGGCACCAGAAGTCCCTCTTGACACCAAAGCAACTCCAGGTGACAAATGAAATGGCTTCTTTGTCTTTCTTTTTTTTCTTTCATTCTTTCTTTGTTTCTTTTGTGCCAATACTGAGGCTTGAACTCAAAGCCTGGGTGCTGTCCTGAGTTTTTGTTTTTGTTTTTGTTTTTGTTTCTTCACTCGAAGCTGACACTCTACCACTTGAGCCATTCTACTATTTCTGGCTTTTGGGTGGTTAATGGATGATAAGGGTTTCATAGACTTTCCTGCCCAAGCTGGCTTTGAAATGCAATCCTCAGAGAGCAGCTTCCTTTGTAACTAGATTATAAGCACAAGCCACCAGTGCCTGGTTCTTTACCTTTTCTTATGACAGCTCTCTAAAAGAAGGAATAAATTCAGTTAAGGGTTCTTATTAAGGGAAGTCTGCAAACATTCTATTGGTGCAGAAAGTTGGCATTTAAAGGGAATGGACTCTCTTGGAGACCATTTTAGGCAGCACTGGAAATTGAACTCAGGTCTCATGGGGGTTTGGCAAGTGCTCTACCATTTGGGACAGGAACTTGTTATGTGGTTCAGGCTGCTCAGGATTCATGATCTTCCTTTCTTCACCTCTGATCTTTAAGCATTCTTTAGATTATATCATAGAATAACCTAGCTGGCCTATATAATGTACTAACAAGCATGGCTCACCAGATCTACTTTGTTGTCCACAAAGTCCTGAGTGACAGCTTGAATACATAGGAAAAACTCAGTCCTGATGAATAACTGAAATTGCTGTCCTAGAAGCCCAATTTTTCACACACAGAGCCCTGTACGTGCACTCATTAGCCCTATGGATATTCCTCTCATTACCACCCATTCCGTCTCTGGGTCTTAAACATCGTTGGCCTTACTCTGTAGTCAGATCTAAACACAATCCACCTTCAGACTTGTATCTATAAGAACCCATGTTGTCCTAAAGAATGATTCTAAACATGGCATTACCCTGGATTCCCCCTAAGGGACAATCTTCCCACGATGGCCCACATCCTGAGCTGATTCAAGAGCCTGGTGAACTCTGAGTTCAAGCAGACAAGGACAAGGCTGTTGAAATCATTCGAGCATGACACAATCAGGGTTTGGACCAAAAATGCAAGACAATCTCCTCTGTAAAATCAAGCTGGCAGACGAGGGCTCTGGATCTGCGGTATTCTGTTTGTCAAACATTTCTCTGAGAGGTGAAAGCAAAGCCGGGCCCCTCTTTTGCTTTTCCATTGCCCTAAAGCAATTACTTTGGTTCACAGTAATTATTCCGCTTTAAACTGAACAGGTTCTATTGGAAGTCAAGATAATTGAGTTAAGCCCCATTTATTACAATACTCGGGCTGGAGCCATGAAGTCTATACCGTGACTCTGGGTTCATGTCTGTTGTTTGTGTCTGTAAAGTCACCTGACCCAGTCTTTGGAAAGAGGGAAACACCACAATGAATGACAGCTAGATGGGACTTATCTCTTGAGTGTGAAGAAGCTAAATAATTATTATTTGCCTTTGGAATGATTTTTGATAAAAATTTGTGTAACGAGCAAATTGGTAGTCATTTTATAATTACCTCAGTTATGAACCATCCTTTGTCGGCCACTAAAGTCAAAGGGGAGACAAATTTCCCTTTCTTATAATAGAACCTGCTGGGTATGGCTTCTTTCTTGTAGACCGTCATGTGTTCCACAGTGCGGAGTTTGTTATAGATCTGCAAAGACAACCAAGGACGACCAGTTTTGCAATCTAGTTCTTAAATATAATGAATAAATATTAGACTTGAAGTAGATTATCAAACATCTGCTAGATCTGAGTACATAAAAGTGAAAAGCTTTTATATAACTTGGAAATCAAGCTGGTTTTAAAGATCTACATACCCTCTAACCTAAGCAGGAAACCTCTAGGAATACTGAAAAATAAATTCCTTTATATGTGCCCTTGTGACATAAAGAATAGCCCAGTAAAAGGAGTAAAATAATCACTGAAATGGTTGTTTAATGGAATACTATATAACAGTGAAGATGAATGAATTACAGCAACAGATACAAGAAAGAATCTCAGAGACACGGGGCACGGGTGGCTCATGCCTATAATCCTAACTACTCAGGAGGCTGCGATCTAAGGATGGTGGTTCAAAGCCAACCAAGGCAGGAAAGTCCATGAGATTCTTATCTCCAATTAACCCCCAGAAAACCAGAAATGGAGCTATGGCTCAAAGTAGTAGAGTCTTGAGCAAAAAGAGCTCAAGGGATAGCACTCAGGTCCTGAGTTCAAGCCTCATGACCAACAAAAAAAAATTAGGGATCTTAGTTTAAGGAAAAATAGTGCAAGCTACAGAAAAATACAGACAAGATGATTATTCCTGTTATAGGAAGTTCAAGTCATGACAAAAATAAATAATATATATTGTAAAACTATAAAGAGAATGACAAACATGGTACCATAAAATTTAGGAAAGTGGATCTTCTGGGGCAGGGCAGAAAAGGTGATATGATCTGGGAAGGAGACAGAGAAGATGTCATAGGCAATTTTCATGTCTTGTTTCTTGAATGGTTAGGGAACCTTTGGTGATGATTTCTACATTAGCTTTTATACCCTACATATCTTATAATAATTCTTTTGTATATACACAACAATGAAGAAACATATGATAAAGACCTCTTGTTTTGTAATGTTCTATTACTATTTAAATTAAAAGGCATATGAGACAGGGGTCAGTGGCTCTTGCCTGTAATCCTAGATACTCAGGAGACTGAGATCTGAGAATCACAGTTCAAAGCCAGCTGGGAAGTGGCGCTGTGGCTCAAGTGGTAGAGCGCTAGCTTTGAGCTGAAGAGCTGAGGGACAGCGCCCAGGCCCAGAGTTCAAGCCCCATGACTGACAAAAAAAAAAAAGGCAAATGAACAACTGGTCTTCTTAATGTTAAATACCACAATGATCAAAGAGAAAGGATGTATGTGTTCTTTAACTCATCCTGGAAAGTGTCTCTTGCCTATGAAAATCTTAAAAGCACTAGTAATTGCTTTTTATTAACTACATTGCTAATCTCATAACAGACATGTAACATTGTACATTCTTCTAATATCTACCAGCAACTTAAATATTTGTGGCTATGAATAAAATCAACTAGCTAATGTTGACTTGCAAGCATTTAACCAAACTAGGATATATTTCTAGGGCTACAGGGATTTAAAATTATGTTTATCAACCCAGAAAAATAGTCTTTAGGGTGGCTAGTGGAAAGCTTCTTTTAGTCCCAAAAGTTAGGGATCCTATTTGATAGAACCAGGTTTCTTCAAAAAAAAAAAAAAGTAGGATGCATTGGCAGGCTGGTTTTAGAGAAGTTACAAAACCCTGTAAAAGCCTGGCTTATGCTTGTAATCCTAGCTACTCAGAGGTCTGAGATCAGAGGATCAAGGTATGAAGTCAGCCCAGACAGGAAAGTGTGAGGTTCTTACCTCCAATTAAGGAGCAGAAAGCTGGAAGTGGAAAGCAGAAAGCTGTTGTGGCTCATGTGGTAGAGTGCTAGCCTTGAGCAAAAAGGCTCATGCTCAAGGGTAGCAATGCCCTGAGTTGAAGCTCCAGCAACCCCATGCAACAAAAAGCCGTGGTGACAGGTCTTACAAAGTATTGTGTCCATTGCATAACAAACTATCACCCAAGCACAACCCCTACTTTTGAATGATCTAGCAACCGCTGTAGGCTGCAGGCGAAGCTGGACTTAAACATTGCATGGGGAGAAGCTCTTCCCCACTCCTAAGCTGTCAATAGCCAAACACTCTGGAAATATCACCTTCCCAAGTGCCAAACTGGAGACAAAGAGCCTCTTCCTTGCCAGGAAGACACCACTTGTCCTCAAGAACCTGTGCAAACGTTCTTTCCAATTTTATATTTAGAGAGTTTACTGAGACATTGTGCAAATGCACTTAGCACCTTCCTTTCCTGACGATGAGGCCAAAGAAAAAAAGGAGTTCCCCCTGAGGAGTGGAGCAAGATTGGGAATAGTGGCGTTGTTGGTCGTTAGCCCACAGAGACACTGTACAGGGCAGGAGGGGGGGGGGGGGGGGGGGGGGCGAGAGGAGTGAGGGCCAAGCCAATGGGATTCTGGCCTTTGCCCATGCTCCGTGGTTAAGAACAGCTTTCCAGAGCCAACTGCATCACTGCTATGATGATGGACAGAGACCATAGCTCCACCGCCTCCAGACTTCCCTGTGGCTGGCCACCCTCCCCCAACAGCAGCCTCATCTCCCCCAGATGCCTCCTGGCCAGTTCAGCTTCAGCTAAGCAAGGGCAGAAGTTAGCCAACCTGCATGGGGAGGTGAGGAGGTAACTTCAGATCTAAGCAGTCAGTCCCTCCCTATATCCTCAGGGTGGTTTACCTTGTCCAGCCAGCTATAATTACTACTTTGAGAGAAGATAAATAGAAGTCTAATCATCTCAGGGTTGATGAGTTCCTGGAGGCAAGGTCAAGTTTTGCCCTCCTTCTCACTGTGGGAACTCAACCACACCTACTTGGGAACTCTCCCTACCCCCTGTTTTGTTTTTGTTGGTCCTAGGGCTTGAACTCAGGGCCTAAGCACTATGAGAGTTTTATTTATTTATTTTTGCTTAAGGATAGCACTCTATCATTTAAGCCACAGCTCCACTTCCAGCATTTTGTTGGTTACTTGGAGATAAGTGTCTCATAGACTTTCTTGCTGGGCCTGGCTTAGAGCAATAACCCTCAGATCTCAGCCTCCTAAGTAGCTAAGGTGATGGTCCTAAAGCTAAGGTGATGGTTCCCTTTGATGGTGATAGTCTCAATAAGAGACATAAAATCTTTCCAGTGGCCTGCCATGCTTCTGGGGGCCTTCACTTTATAGCAGCCAGAGGGCAGCTGTTACTACACGGCCACAATTCTATAAGGAGAAGCAGAGGGGCCAGTTCCCAGCAATTTGGTAGAGCTGGGATTTGAACCTATCATGTTTGGCTGTGAGATAAGACACTACCCCATTGAACACAGGCTTCTTGTTCATTACCTTCAGTCCCTTGGTGAAAACAGATCAGAGTGGTGGTTCCCTTCCACAGAAAGAACTTTCTGTGTTTCTTTATATCAACACCTTTTTCCTCGATGTTATATTGAAGCCAATCATAAAAGAAGAGAACTTTAATAGGGGCCTTATGTGTATGTTGGGCTGGGGGTGGGGGGAAATACATCTAGCTTTTGTATATATTTTATCTCATTTTGATTTGCATAAAGTTCAGTGGGCCAGATATCTTTATAGAGAAGGACAGAGTGGGGGACATGAGTGAATTCTTGTAAGCAAATGAGGAACTAGGTGATCATGAGCACTCCTATCATGACTCTAGATTGCAGCATTAAAGCTACAGGAAAAGTCCCAGAAGAGTATACACACAGGCTGATGCAGATGCCCCTCCTCCCGTCATGGCGTCTCTTGCCTCAGAGTGCTTTCCAGGGGCTGGCCACAAACTCACGACTGGCCCTCGGTCCTTCATTTGCTGTAGGTCATCCAGGCTGATGTACTTGCTCAGCTCAATCACTTTGTCCATCCAGAAGATGTCCGTCATCCCATGATCTGAGAAAATGACGACATTCAGGAGGTCCTGTAGGCCCCGCTCCTGTGGGGCGGGCAGAAGAGGTCACTACTCACCAGCGGGAAGTCTCCTTAAGACATCATGTTAGCCAGAAATCATTGGTGCCAAGATAGTTTCTTTGCTCTGAACGTAATCATCTACCCATCTGTCCTGAAAAGATGGTTCAAAAGCCAGGCACCAGTGGCTCATGCCTGTAATGCTAGCTAGCTACTCAGCAGGCTGAGATCTGAGGATCGTGGTTTGAGGCCACCTTGGGCATAAAAGCCCCCATGAGACTCTTATCACCAATTAGCCACTCAAAAAGCCAGAAGTGGCACTGTGGCTCAAGTGCTAGCCTTGAGCACAAAGAGGCTAATGGACAGCGCCTAGGCCCTGAGTTCAAGTTTCACAAACAAAAATAATGACGTTTCAAAGTCATGACAGAAGAATCTGAGAGAGGGGCAGGGGACAGCCCCCACCTCAAAGCCTGCCCACAAGAGCACACGCTCTTCTAGCTTTTAGGGCACCCTTGCCGTTTTTTATTTCTTCTACTCTTTCAACAAACTCAGGTGGTAATGTGAGGCAGATCCCTGACTCCCAAGACAGATTTAAAAATTAAAGCTAGGGAAAAGTAAACAAACGATAAAACCAAAGGAACAAACAAACACTTGCTATAAAGTCATTCAACCAGAACCCAGGTCTGGCTTCCATGTTCCCGGGCAGCGCATGACCAGACTTCCTGGGCTTTTAAAGACCTGGGTCGGCTGTCCAGCCAATGTGGTCAATAAGGCACAACCCCACGGGCCCCCGCCATGGAATGAAGAGTCTCTTGGACCCTCAGGATGTGGTGTGAGAAGAAAAGGCTTAGTAAGAAGGGAGGTGCGAGAGGAGCAATGGAGACGGCGATGGAGAGGAAGAGGGTGACAGGAAGGAGCCGTCTGTGCTTTAGGTCACCTGGATCCACTGGGTCATGTACTTGAGGACAGTATCCACAGCCTTGAGGGCATCCTTTCTCTGCGGTGACGAAGGGCCGTAGTGGTGGCCTTCCACATCAATGCGCTCGTGGTATATGGCCGCTAGGTCTGCGCGGCCACTCCTAGAAGAAGCAGAAGGGAAGGGGCACAGGGGAGGGAGGTCTCTTGACCCACCAGCCCTTCTAAAGGTGCTAGGATAACACCCCCCCCCACCGCCCTGAACCCAGTCTTGGAGACCAAGGCCCAAACTCAAAACTTCAAAAATGAGCAAGGTGGATGGGTACCCAGTGTAGGGTGACTAGTACCAAGCACCTTAGTCTGGCCACATGACGGTGTTCATCATGTTCTAAGAGTTGGAAAGTGTGCTAACAGGCCCAGGTAAATTTGTAATGTCTTCACTATCATTGGAAGATCAGAAAATGGGGAAGGAGGCAACAGGGAAGGAGGTAACTGTGGTTTTGTTGTTGTTGTTGTTGGTTTGTTTTATTGGTTTGGTTTGCTGTTTTTCAGTTGTGGGGCTGGAACTCAGGGCCTGGGTGCTGACCTTGAGCTGTTTTGTTCAAGGCTGGAGCCACTTGGAGTCACAGTGCCGCTTCCAGTTTTCTGGTGGTTAACTGAATGTAAGAGTCTGATGGACTTTCCTGCCTAGGTTGGCTTTGAACCATGATCCTCAGATCTCAGCCTCCTGTGTAGCTAAGGATTATAATCCTGATGTGAGCCACCGGCGCCTGGCTGAGGCAACTGTTAGAGTACTCTGCACTTTATGGGCGTCTCTAAATACAGCAGTAGATTATGGGTCCGTCTGACAGTGAAATGAGCAGTGCCACAGCCAGCTTGTAGAGGGCATAATAGCAGTTAGTGCTTCAGGCCAAACGTCAGCACACAAACCAGGACACTCGGTCTATTCCAGTTTGGACATGGAATGGATTCCAGTGGTAACCTCACTTCCAAAGGCCTCAAACTACCCCTTTTGGCCATCCATCAGTAAGTGGTAGAAAGCGAAGCTATTTAACCCTCCGTGCTTGGCAAAGAATGACTTAAAGGAAGCTAGTCACAGAAATGGGAGCAGGAGGCTGGAAGACTGAAGAGGGAGAGGGACTCTGGAAAATGCTCTCCCTGTCCTCACACACTACGTGTTTCTGTGACTCCCCTTCCCAGGTCAGGCTGTGCCCGAACCCTACCCACAAAGCACCTGAAAGAGACCAGAATGATGATGATGATGATGATGATGATGATGATGATGATGATGATGATGATGATGATGGTGATGGTGGTAATGCTGGTGCTGGCTTTGATGATGATGACATAACAAGAATTGACAAAAGATGAAGCAATAGAAAAGAAATTCAAGCTACTTTTTCACAGTACCAGGAGACAATAATACTCTTGGCAGATTGTTGCATTTCTTCTGAAAAACTGTATTTTAAACACGCACGCGCGCGCGCACACACACACACACACACACACACACACAGAACATGGTTTTCCTTGCACCGTAAACATGAAGAATGAAAGACTATCGCTCAGAGCTTGCAAGGCCTTTGATCTTGCCATCCACAAGGAGGGAAGCAGCTTCATGGCTGTTCAGAGAACTCAACACAATCAGTTACACAGCCTAGGCTTTCTCCCATAGCAGGTCTAGAGCAGATATTACCTCTTCCAGGAAGTTTCCTCTGGTGTTCCAAGACTGGGTTGGGTGGCCACAGGCTCTTATGACTATTCAAAGCTCACTTCTGAGCTCTGAATTTCCATGCTGTGCCATAATTGCCCACTTATGTGTCCTTTCTCTCTGTTAAATTGTGAGCTTCTTTCTCCCTAGGAAGGGTGATTCATTCTCTCTTGTGTTGTAGCTCTAGTTCAGCCTTGGGCACACTGGAACTCTGCAACTATCAACTGAATGAATAATAGTAAGTGTTCTGTAAATGGTAGCTACTGTGAGCCAAACACTATGCTGTGGGGTTTTGGGTTGGGGGGAGGGTTACATTCATTTTCTTGTTGGGTCATCAAAACAACCCTAAAAGAGTTCAGAGGGTTCATTGCTAGCACTACAGAGCTGTTAAAGCAGGCAAACTGGGGTATCTAGAACATAAACTCTAGATTCAGAGGAACCCGGTAGCCCACACTAAGGGAAATGTCTGTTTAGCCTCAGTGATCTGTGGACATGCCCCCTACTGCCTCACAGACTCCCCCCAAACCCTAGAGAGCTGGGTGTGACCTGGGGTGAAGAGTCACAGGGAAATGGGGGCCCTCACTTCTCCATACACAGAACTCTGCGTCTGGGGATTGGCTCTGTCTCCAGAGTGGGGAGCTGCAGTGGATTCTGTCCTCACTGAAGGGTGCTTCCTGATCTGTAGATGAAGAAACAGACCTGTGAAGGTTCTGGAAGGTTTTAGAAGGGATTCTCACAGATCTGTAGGATGCAGCTAGACCTGGAAATGCAAACCTTTCACCTCCAAAGGCCAAATACCTTTCCCTCTCCTAAATGAGGCCTTTGAAAGTCTGCCCACTTCTACACTATCCTCTCAACTGGTGGGCAAATTATCAAGTACATTCTGCCTGGAATCTTCTCTCATGTTCTACCAGGTTCTTTGGGAACAGTTGTAAGAATACACTGATCTCAAGTTAAGTGAAATTGTTAGTTAAATGTTCCCTTTTTAGAACAAAACAAACTGACCCTTTTCTAACAAGCTCCATTACCACCCTCCTCCACAGTGTAGATGGGCCTCGGTTATTATTTAGTTGTTTCTCACCAATGATATTAGCATTATTCATACTTGCTAATGTGTGAATGACTAATCCAAATCCCCTCCGCATCTCTAGCTCAGTTGAGCACAAAAAGTCACTTTAGGGTCCCACCAGTGTGTAGGCAGTGGGGGAAAGTTTGAATTAGGCAATTTCACTTTCATCCACAGCCTAAGACTTGTTTGAGGCCCATGTTCACCGACAGGGCCCATGGTATTCCCTCCACTGCTGCCTCTGAACATGGTGGAAGCTTACAAAAAGAAAATCTGTCCTGCAGGTAAGTCTTACTGTTAATCCCCTTCATGTTTTAGCATCTGGGGCATTCAGACATACTGATTTGGACTATACCATCTGTCTAAACAGGGTCCACACTTGGCTTATTTGTGGGGAAAATTATCTTTCACACAGTGGAGACTTACTAAAATGAGGCATCTTCAAAATCAAGGTTTAATGTGCAATTAAAATCCGATAGCTATTTCTAGGTCTGTCCACTTATTGTATGTTATTCATTTAATGTGTGTGTGTGTGTGTGTGTGTGTGTGTGTGTGTGTGTGTGTGTGTGTGTGTGTGTGTGTGTGTGTGCCAGTACTGAAGCTTGAACTCAGGGCCTGTGCTCTCACTTGACTTTTTTACTCTGGGCTGGCACCCTAGAAGTTGAGCCACAGCTCTACTTAGGTCTTTTTGGTGGTAAATTAGAGATAAGAGTCTACCCAGGCCAGCTTCCAACTATAATCCTCAGATCTTGGCATCCTGAATAGTGAGAATTACAGACATAAGCCACCAGCACCCAGAAAGAGCTCTTCATTTTAAACCTTCTCCATGAGGTAGCTGTCACCAGGCTGATTTTATAAATCCCTATGAGATCAGAACACTATTAAGAATCCCAGTTTACCTCATAGCTGGGTTTGGGGAAACTGTCAACCCCACAGGCCAGGAACACTTGGTATGGAAGGCTGGCCATTTGGGGATTGTTCATGTGAAAGGTTTTTATACTCAAGTTTCATTGGTTCATTAAAGGATTGAAGTCACCAAGAGCTAAGAGCTTTTGCCTGTTGGGAGTTTTGCAGACAAATCTTTGGTAGCCAGCTGTTTCCCACTAAGGCCTGGTCTTCATCGCAGATCAGCTTGGTCAGGTCGGGAGAGGTAAGTGGAAGCTGTGAGGGCTGCTATTGGCCATTGACAGCTTTAAGGCCCTGGATCCAGCCAGAAGGGCCTGAGGCCATCCACCCAGTTCCCTGCAAGCTTCATGTGTCCATTGGCTCTGAGACTTCAGGGCCACCCATGTCTCCCATCACCTTAGGATTCTCTCCAGGTTGCTTTGCAATATAAAAAGTTTATAATGACTGGGTACTGGTGGCTCTGATCATCCTAGCTACTCAGGTGGCTGAGAACTGAGGATTGTAGTTTGCATCCAGCCCAGGCAATTCTCCAATTAACCACCAAAAAGAAAATCAGAAGTGGAGCTGTGGCTCAAGTGGTAGAGTGCCAGCCAGTCTTGAGCATAAAAGCTCAAGGACAATGCCCAGGCTGAGTTCAGACCCCAGGATTTGCTTACAGGAATGAGTTGGGAAGGAAGAAGATTTAGAGAAGGGAAGCAAGTTAAAGGAATTACTATTGACTTGTTTTGAAGAGGCCTCAATGTGGTAAGCCATCTTTGTATTAAACAAGGTTTTCCCCACAAACAAGCCTAATGCTGGAAGTATGGCCACCTAGTCAGGTGACATATTGTATAAATCAGCACTACGTGAATGCTAACGATGCTAGAACATAAAGCCAAACTTAAAAATAAGGTCCTAAAATTATTTGTGTCTTTCAGTGCCATACACAGCATTGCCTGTAAAGCTTGCTCAAAAGATACCAGATCTAATTACCAATGAGCGTTCAGACCTTGTAAACTTAGGTGCTACCTGCTAGGAACCTGATAAGATCAAAATTATTTGACCTAATAGAGAAAGCAATCCCCAAACTATAGTCTTTTTCTGCCAGTCCTTGGCTTGGTTAATCAGTGATGAGAATCTCATAGGCTTTCCTGATCAGGCTGGCTTCAAACCATGATACCCAGATCTCAACCTCTTGAGTAACTAGGATTACTAGCATTACAGACTTGAGACACCATCACCCAGAACCCAAATTATAGTCTTATTATCCTCTGTATGATTAAGCATTTGTTTCTGTAATAATACTCATGTCCTCTCATGCTCCATCATTCCATAGACTGGGTGTGGATTCTCATGTTCTTCTAACCAGGCCTGCCACTCTCTCTCCACTCCTCCAGTAGTAAAATAGCCTGGACCTTGGTATAATTCCATAAAAAGATGAAGCTTTTGTTTTGAAAAATTCCTTCTTTCATTCCCTTCCTCCATCCTTCATTTCTCTCTAT